ACAGATATTTTTACTTATTCAAAAGTTAGTCTAATTATGAATCTTCTATTTATATTGAGTAGGATGAGCCAGGAGTAGCCCCAGCTTTCCTGGAACTCACTATGTAGACCAGGCTGGCCTCGAACTCACAGAGATACGCCTGCCTCTGCCTCCTGAGTGCTGGGATTAAAGGCATGTGCCACCATGCCTGGCAAGATATATTTCTTTTTAAATTAGACTTCTAAACTGAAATAAAGAAAGAAATGGCAATACTTTTCATTAATAAAGTCTTATTGCTACAGATGAACCAAGTAACTAAAACTGCAGTAAGAATTGTGAGAGCTCAGCTACTTTAGTATTTAAGATTCATTTACTTTCGTTTCAACTATTGTGGAGGAACAAAAACTACATCATTATCTTTTATACTATTGTAGGAGATTAATACTGAAACGATCAAAAGAAGTGCTTCGTAAAGACCAATAGTCAAGGGAGTTTGTCAGAGAAAAACTGGGAATAGATGAACAGCCCCTGAAAAGATGAGAAATAAATATTTTTAAATTTTTTCTTAAAATTTAAAAATTTATTGCACTCAGAGATCTAAGTGTGTAATTACCATTTTTCTAAAATAAAGAGCTGAGAAATACTAGCTAACTACTGAACAATTAAAATGCAGTAGTCCTGGGTGTCCAGGCCTTGATGCTGAACCTCTCCCATTTCTGGGCACCAAGAGGTTTTCCATTCTTCTTCTATTGCTCTTCTACAGCCCCAGTGTGCCTTCACCTGTGCCCTAATTGAACTTCTATAAATAAAACACACAGTCTGGGAAGTTAAAAAAGAAAATAGAAAGTATCGTAATAACTAAACTGATACAATCCTCAAACTAAAAATATGTAATTATGTCTCAGAATTTCAACGTAATTACGTTACTTCTTAAAGAAAGCAATGTTAATAAAAATATTTTAATAAAAAAGTAGAGGAGCTGGAGAGAAGGCTCAATGGTTAAGAGCACTGGCTGCTCTTGCAGAAGACCCCAGTTCAACTCCTAGTACTCACATGGCAGCTAACGCCTGTCTGTAATTCCAGTTCCAGGGGATCCTACGCTCTCTTCTGACCTCTATGGGCACTGCATGACTCAGTTGCACTCACATACACGCAGGCAATATACTCATACACATAAAATGAAAATAATTTTTTTTTAATTTATGGAAATTTTTGTTGTTTTCTGTTCTTGAGAGAGGGTCTCCCTATAGCCTCAGCTGGCCTGGTTCACTATGTAGACCACCTTCATCTCACAGAGATCAGCCTGCCTCTGCCTCCCAAGTGCTAGGATTAAAAGCATGTGCCACCAGGCCTGTCAATTTGATGGAATTTTAAATATTAGTCCCTAACACTTCATTTCTGAACAGTTCGCTGGGGCCTACATTTTGATGGACTTTTTACCCAATGCCCAACCTCAAAGTCAACTATGTCACATGGTAAAATTATTAGTATAATTTATATAATATGCTGATATTGAAGTGCTTTTGAGTAATATTTTTATTTTTAAATAACAAAGTTATAAGGTTTCATTATGACATTTTCAAACATACTTTGTTTTTATTGATTCACTTCCCCTTTGTGCCCTCCCTTAGTCCCTTCCACCCCAAGCAGCCTTGTTTCTGTTTTCATATCTCATGTGTTCTATTACCCTCCACTTTCCTCAAACCTCTTCTCTCCATATCCCCTTTCTCATTTCATGACTTCTGTCCACATTCACACCCACATAGATACATAAATGTTGAAATCTAGGATCCACATATGAGAGACAACATGCAGTATTTGTTTCTCTGAGTCTTGGTTGCCTTGGTTTGTATAATAATTTCCAGATCTATCCATTTTCCTGAATTTTTCAGAATTTTAATTTTTATGACTGAATAAAATTCCATTACATACATGGGCCACATTTTCATTATCCACTCGTCTGTTGATGGACATCTAGGCTGGTTTCATTTCCTTGCTGTTGTGAATAGAACAGCAAATAAAAGTTGATGTGCAACTTTCTCTGTAGGATGTGGCCGTGGGAGTATGCCCAGCAGTTGTGCTGGTTCATATAGTAGTTCTATTGACAAAGAATAATTTTTGCAAAAAAATGGTGCTGGAGCAGCTGGATATCCAAATGCTAATGGAAGAAGTTGGACCTCTACCTCATACCATGCACAAAAGATAACTCAAAATGCATCAAAACCCTAAATGTAAGAACCAAAGCCATTGAACACTGAGAAAAATGTACAGACATAAACCTCCTTGCCCTGAATAAGGGAATGATTTCTGAGGTATGATATTAAAAGCATGAACAGAAGAAAAATAAATTATATTTTATCAAAATCAAAAGTGTTTAAGTTATAAAGGACACTACCACAAAAGTGAAATCAGAAACTGTGGAATGTGAGAAAATACTTGTAAGTCATACAGCTGGGGGAGGATTCATAAGCAGAAACATAAGAAACTCTCACAATGATAAAAAGACCATTCTATTAAATAATAGACAAAGTATTTGAGCAGACATTTCACCAGAGAAGACAGAGTCAAGAAACCATGAAAACATACTCAGGCATCACTGGGGGAAGCAAACCAAAACTACAAAGAAATCCTACTTCACAAACACTTGGAGAGCTATAATTAAAAAAAGAAAGATAGTAGCAAGTGCTAAAGAGGTGGAAAGGCAGTGCTAATAGAATATAGAATGATGCACTTGTCTGTGGGAAGTTTTGTAGTTCATCAAAAAATTAAACATAAAACTGTGAGCCTGAAGTTCGGTATGTTTCCCAAGAGAATAGAAAACATATTCTTACAAAAAAATATGTACATGAATGTCTGTATCAACTTTATTCCTTTCGGTTCTAAGTGAAAACAACCCCAGTGTTCATCAGTTGATACAAGGATATTCAAAATGTGGTATATTCATGCAATGGAATATTATTTAGCCATTCAAAGGAATGAAGTTCAGATACAAGCAATAACTTGAATAAACGTTGAAAACCATATGGTATTTATAAAAGAAGCCATGCATGAAGGGTCACATGAAGTATGATTCCATTTACATGAAAGGTCCAGAAGAGGAGAATCTGTAAAGACTGAGAGTTGATTTGTGGTTTTCAGGATCTGAGGGAAGGGAGGACCACAGAGGAACTGCTAATGAGCACAGTTTCTTCTGGCACTGGTGAAAATGTTCTGATATTAGTGTAATATTGGCACATCTTTGTGACATACTGAAAACCACTAAATTGTACATTTTATCTATTTTTAATTTTATTTTAGTTTATGTGTGTGTGTGATGCAGGAATAGGTACAGTCCACTGTGTGTGTATGTGTGTGTGTGTGTGTGTGTATGTGAGTGAGAGAGAGAGAGAGACAGAGACAGAGACAGAGACAGAGACAGAGACAGAGAGAGAGAGAGAGAAACAACTTTGTGGAGTTCGTTCTCTCCTTCCACATTTACATGTGTTCCTGGGATCAACTCAGGTCATCAGGCTTGCACAGCAAGCACTTTAACCGCTGAGTCATCTAGCCAGCCCTGAATTGTACATTTTTTAGGGCTGAATTTTTATTGCATATCAGATATACTTTATTTTTAAAAAGAAAAAGAAAAAACACCTGCCATAGATTTCTATCATTCTGCTTCGTGATCTATAAGTCCCTAAGAAAAAAGCAGGTAGTTATCAGCTGAAATGCCTCAATCAATGAAAGAATTCCTTAACCATTTGGTTTGCTTTGAGTTTTAAGAATTATTAGCTGTATAACTGTATTAACTCAACTGTGAACCTAGAAACTTGCACCCACTTGTGAAAGAGATGTACTCTTGCTCTGGAGTATATTACTGAATATGTTAAATCTGTAGTGAAATTCTTCCTCTAATCATGTAGTTATTAAAAAAAATTTTAAATGATAAAAAAATAATGATAATAATTAGTAGATGTGAAAAACATTACCATTGAAATCTACCTGATGGACTTTATATCCATGCTCAGATGCCAAGGAGCTCAGAAAGCAACCAACTGTCACTAGTAGTAATTAGATATATAGAGCTTAGAAACGCATGTGCAAACATCTTGATGTCAACTGCATAGAAAATGAATTTTTCTGTATAAAACTGTGTATTTTAATAATGAAATGGAGATATTTTTTATAGGTTAAAACCTCATTTAATTTTATGTCTTATAATGTTAATACTGAGTAAAATATTGTATAACTGTAACAATTCACTGTAAACCTAAAACTTTATAGGTTGTAATGAAATGCTTCTTCTAAGTAAAAAAAAAAAAAAAAAGAATTAGTAGGCCGAGTGTGGTGACACATGCCTTTAGTCCCAGTACTAGGGAGACAGAGGGGTAGGTGGATCTCTGTGACTTGAAGGCCAGCCTGGTCTACATAGTGAGTTCCAGGCTAGCTGGGGCTACAAGGCGACCCTGTCTCAAGAAAAAAAAAAAAAAGAATTAGTAGGCCGAGGGTGGTGACACATGCCTTTAGTCCCAGTACTAGGGAGACAGAGGGGTAGGTGGATCTCTGTGACTTGAAGGCCAGCCTGGTCTACATAGTGAGTTCCAGGCTAGCTGGGGCTACAAGGAGACCCTGTCTCAAGAAAAGACCAAAAAATAAATAATGAGTAATTAGTAATTAGTAGAAGGGTCAGCCTCGTGAGCAAAGAGTTTTCTGTGTGCTCGTCTAGCTCCAGGTGCTGCGAGGGGCCTCTGTGCAGCTCTTCCCCTCACTGTGACAAAGAGCTCAAAGCACATGTAACTAAGGTAGGGTTTGCTACATCATCTCTACATGTAAAGATGGAGAGAGCACTGCATGTTTGTTTAGAACGCAGAGCTCCAGTCTCAGCTGTGCCATTAATTTATTTAAGCCTCAGTTTCTCTGTGCAACTCAGTTTCTGAAATCATTCTGAACGGTAAGAACTGCCAGCCTCCCTGCCACACAGTAGAGAAGGGAGCAAAGGTCCACCGAGAGCATGAGAAGGACAGAGATCAGGGAGCCTTTACCTGGAATATTATTTGACTTGGTTCTTGGCCTTCAAAAATGGAGAATGTCATGGGCTTCAAGGGGCCACTGAATTTCCCTTCTTGTCCGTATCCACCTGCCTGTTAACAAAGAAAGCCAAAGTGAGCATTTACTGGGAATGTATTTATGCCGCTTGCTGATTTCTTTAAGGCTTCCCAAAGCAACACATGAAGCACAGAATTCCATCACAGATGAAAACATGAATGTGATCAAAACAGAAAGGGGTCTAGGATTTGTTCAGCGACTCTCCCATCCTGTCAAAGTCATCTGCTATGAGCTCTGCTTTGCTCACTTACCATGAGCTATCACCCTATGAGAAGAATCTTGCCACCCCCACGCTGTAAATGAGGCTTCAAGAGTGAAGCCCAGAGTGAAACATGAGAATGGTGGGCAGGGACAGGAGACACTCCTACCCGACTGAACCAAAGCTCAGGGTCTCCCAGCAGCCCCTCTGCCTTCTAAATCCTACATGGTTTATTTTACACTAGCACCAGCCTTTTAAAACACCTCCCTCCATTATCTAATATTTTACGATAACATTCATGGCATATTCCCAGAACTCTGCAGTCTATAGTCACTTCAAAGGCTATAGAACTTACAAGGGGGAAAAAGAATGTGTAGATATGTTTAGCACAATGCTTACTTAGCACATAGTTATTTGGTAAATTCTAATCACACTTCAACCCGAATTGAAACTGCAACTTTAAGAAAACCTTACTACTTTAACATTTGACCAGCATTTTATATTAATTAAAATAACAAAAGCATAAAGTATTTTTACTTCAAGCACTAGCTGCAAAATGATTCTAAAGTCCAAAGACCTTAAAAGTCCAAGCAGCCTCCACAGTCACTCAAGCCCAGGCTGGGATGATAAGAATTCACAATGACTTAGTATTCATAGGACCCTGTCCTAAGAACATTTAATCCTGGTAATAGCCCTCCTAGGGAAGAATGTTACAGTTAGCTCTCTTCAGTCTAAGATGAACAAAAGTAATTTGTCCACATATTAACTAGAAGCAGAATTTGAACCTGAAGCTCTAGAGCCAGTCTTCTCAGCCCTTGGGCATTATTACCCACCTGTGAAAGGAAAGCCAGCTGAAATAGAGATGTAGGTAAGGGCATGGCTCCCACCATTCCAGACCTGGGAACTGGGGGCGTTCAGCAGCAACAGCTGCCATCACCACTGACCCTCACTAAAATGGCACCCCTGAAGGGAAATGGGGGGCAGAGTGGAGCTGGTGTAGAGATATCCAGCCTTATGCCCAGGACCAGAATTTAATGTCATGTGCAGGATGCTGGTTTCCCCTTCTTCCTCCTAGGTAATCTTTGGGGCTCCAGTTTGTAGTGGGAATAAAGTGGATTAGGGTAGAGTCAGAAGCATGCGAGACAAGTAAAATCAAACTGGAAGAACTAAGTGGCATGGAGATAATTTGTTTCCTACTGGGAACAGCCCAAACAATCAGTACGTGAGTGGCAGGGAAAGGGTCCTAAACTGTATCTCAGTTGCTGACTCTTGACTGAGTTGATACTGATGGTCTGATAAACACAGTAGCAGGCAGAAACACATAGGGCTTTGAAATTTGGTCTTCTCTCCCCTCAGAGTTGAGGCAGTTCTTCAGCTGAGCTGTACCCTGGCCATGACTGACCCCTATCCTTTGCTGCCTCCCACCACAGAGACAGGGAAATCAAGGAATCTCTCCCAGGCTCTCTTGCAGCTACAATGTGACTGAGTCACACACACACTTCTTGATCATGGCATGAGTGGAGAAGGTGGAAAGGGAGATGAAAAATATGCCCCCATTTATTTAAGTAGCTCCAAAGTCCAATTCCAAACTAAAATCACTTTTAGCTTCCACAATAATTTTAGAAACTTCTAGCTGTCCCCTCCTTCCTAAGTTTGTCTCCTTTGGGAGCTCTTCCTTCCTTTTTTTTCACATCTTCTCCACCTCAATTACCTCCTCTCGAAAGTACAGCATACACTGGATACAGGTGTCCAGTGCCACCATGGTGAGTCTAAGATAGGGGCTGTGTTTTCTGTAAAGCTCCCTTTCTTGCCTCTGCACCCACCAGTAAGTGATAATCCTTGCAATTACTCACAACACAGCGGAAACTCATTAGTCAGCAAACCTCAAGCAAGGCTGTGTGTTCCCTATTCTGACAAGCTAGCTTTCTACAGGAAAGGAGAGCCAGGTCTCAGTTCCAGGGTTCAAAGTTGTGTCCTTGTATCAGGGCAACAAATCTTTCCCGCCCATTAATATGGCTATTGGGGCTATAAAGATTTCAAAATGAATGTGTACAATGTGAGTCACCAAGCCACACCACCAGAGCTGTGATGGATAGCTTGGTGGAAACGGACAAAAGGACAGTTTTCATCTAGAGAAAGGCAGACTGCCTTCTCAGACAAGAGGCAAATGAGCCTAGCATTAGCAACGCACTCTAAACAAATGTTCACTCTCTTCAGTCTCAATGTGGTTCCTTAATATAACTTCACAAGCATGTGCTCTATTTCTACCCTGTGTTCCGGCTCTGTGCTAAGGTACTGAGGCTGCAAAGATTTCTAAAATGCAATCTCTTCTTCATGGAGGTCAGGGTCCATATGGATATAGGCACTGGACATTTAAAACATCATCATGGCAGTAATAACTATTATCTATTCAGTGCTTAGATCATTAATTGAAAGCTCATTAATCAAAAGCTCATTTGATAGCAACAATATCCTACAAGTCAAATATAAGTTACTAGATCCATTTCAAAGAAAATGGAGGTTTTAAAGCTTATAGTGACTCTCTTTCCTATCACAGATAAGCAGCAGCCACAAATTTGAAGATGGATCTGACTTGGTTACCTTTCTGATAATTTGAAAAGGACATTCAAGAAGACAGGGAGAACAGGGTCAAAGAGGGATGTTTACTGTGGCCTTCATACAGCCCCCAGGCTGAGAGAATGCTCACAGGGACTAAATCACAGGCACCAGCCCACCCCAGAGTGGGGCTCTGAGAGGTTCCCATGTTCTAGTTCTATTTCAAACTGTAAAATTTGGAGACTATCGGGGGTGTGCATGATCAAAGCATATTATACATGTGCATTAAAATGTCATAATGAACCTCATCATGCAAAGCATATATTAACAAAACATTTAAAAATTTTAACTGTACAGGTCCTAGGAAGCTTTTGAGAACTTAAAATCTTGTGTATTATTCTTGGGTACGAGAAAAAAAAGCAAGCAAGATTCGATAATGATCTAAAACCTTCTTTTTCAGGAAAAAAGCAAGCAAAGCACACCCCTGAAATCCTGTTTCATAATACAACAAAATTTGGGGCGGGCTTCTGAAGCTCAGGAGCCTTGTGGGTAAAACTGGGATGATACCCCACTATCTGTCTAAGGTCAGTGACTGGGGTCCAGGTCCTTTGAAGTTCTATGCTCAAAACTTGGCAGACCATAGCATTAACTCAAGTGACACTTAACCAGGAACCTACTTCCAAATGATTTGTGAAAATAAAAATACAGAGCATAGGAATGTTGAAAACAGAAAGAATATTTTCTTGATGTGCTTTAGTGGGTAGTTTTCATGATTTTTTTAAAGTTAAGATTAAGTGATATAAACTACTGCATGTATCATTGCAGTTTCTTTCTACAGTTCCTAAGCTATCAATGAAGGACAGATTTGGTCATGGGACTAGGGGGTGTAGCTCAGTGATAGAGCATTTGCCTACTGTATGCAAGGCTCTAGGTTTGATCCTAGTACCATAAAAAAGCTAACTGAAAACATAAAGCGAAACCTTGCCCTTCACATAGTTTGCTGGCTTCTAAGAGCTAAGGATAAAGGACCCCCTCAAGTTGATGGGCAGACATGGGACTTGTAATTGTTTCATTAGAAATATCACATGAGAACATATTGTGTCTGCTCTATACAATTTAATTTTGATGGGCCATCTTTTTTTAAGTGATGGTAACCATTCTTTCCCTGGTATGGAGTGGAAGAGTGTTGGCACATATCCTATGAAAGAGGTAGACACACATACCCCTCTGCTCTTACCAAACAAATCATGAGAAGACACAGGGAGCTAAGCAGGGCTAAGGCCATCTTGCTATCTTCACCTGGGCTCCTGTGAATAAGCCAGAGATAAAAGGGGATTAGTTACCAGTCTGTCAAAAACACATCTTTTCCAAAAGTTTGGATCTTTTGGATCCTATCCAGTCACAATTTTAGTATAAAATAGAATCCCCAAAGACCAGCTGTCCTCTGTGGAACAGCCAATCTCCTAGAAGCTTCTTAATTTCTATCCATAGCAATGCACCTGTTGGCATCCCCAAATAACCTCTGTGATTTCATCGCTATAACAGTCTGACTTCATCTGAGAGGCTTAAATCACAGGCAATACGTATTCCTTTCACTCTTGTTCTGTGTTTTGTTTCATAATTTGCTTTTTTTACATGGGTGAGGAAGATATGCTGTGGCAAATGCCAGGATAACTGGGTCAAAATAATTGTGGTGCTAGTTCAAAGCTGCAAATAACACGAGATTCCTCAAGTACAGACAAGCCAAGAATGTCTACAGCTCTTCAATCAAAGACCTCATCAGCTGCCTCTTTGGTCTTCTAAATATTATTATAGCCTGTGCTATGTGCCTAAGGGGAAAATGGACTGATTATTCCAAGAGACAAGCTAAGCATCCAAACTGGCCCAAACTATCCTTAGCTCACACTATTTCCCATCCCTTCTTGAGGCTTCACATTTCACAGAAATTTTAGCTTTCACCCTGACACATGTCATGACTGATTCCAAGATGTGAGTAAAATTGCTTGGCCCTTAATGCATCATTGCTGCCTATTAAAATACCATGCTGTTAAAATCAAAACAAATAAATTTTAAAAGAACAAACAAGGAATCAAAATATGTATTCATTTCACTAAAATCCCAAAGCAATTTATTATTATATTTAGGGATTATGGATTATCCTGATTTAATTCATCTTTTCATTTGTTTAAATTTTTCCACATTGACTATAATTCACTAATATCAATAGCATAGAAAAATGATTATTAAAATTTAAACATTCTAAAACATTTAAATGTCTTACATGTAGATCATTGAACTTTAAAGATATTTAAACTTTAAGAAGATGAAAATGCTATCCCATTTTAACCTCACAAATGCCCTGGAAGACAGAGAAACAAAGAGCTTCACTCTGGTTCTCCTGGGGGAAAGGCCCTGAAGAACAGCATCACAGGGCAGTGCAGAGGGTGACACAGAGCCTGGCAGTGGGGGCTGCAGCCCAGCTTTGCTTCAGTCGTGAAAAAACAATTTCAATGCTCTGTACCTCGGTTTTCTTAGATGGAAAATCCTAGCAGCTGCCTAATGATAAATGTGGAAGGAGGGACACTAAAGAGTTATTGTTTTGATTTTATAGATGAGGAAATGCAGGTTCAAAGTCAAGCAGCCTGCTTAAAGCCATCCAGCTAAGAAGTAACATTCTCATATGTCCCATAAGATGTGTTTACTCCAAACTCCTAAATCTCTTTCAGTTATTTCTCCTATGTCCTGTGCATTATGTCGGTCATGTGGATACACACACACACACACACACACACACACACACACATATGGTTCACATATGCCATACAAATTAAAAAGCTTACTCCAAAGTTCCGCAGTTATTTAAGGAAAATCTAGGATTAAAATACTTCCAGACTTTAGATTCATGAATTCCTTGAATAATGTTTAAAATTTAGCTTTTATGATGGAACAAATTGGATGGACTATCCAAATAACATTTTAGATTAAAATAATTAAATATAAACAAAACAATTTTTACCCGTATAGGCTACTTATTTGGTTTGGAAAAACATAGAAACAAGCTATAAGCAAGCTCAGATTCTAGAATATTACAAGATGAAATATAGCCAACCCCTTGTATCTACAAATTCAACCAGCCACAAATCAGAAATATTGGATGTGGGCAGAGGCAGGTGTCGATGCTGAACATACAGGAACTTTTTCCTTATCATCCTCTAATGTAACAACTAGGCATTGAGGCTGGTGCCATAGATCAGTAGGAGAGTGCTTAGCATGCCCAAGGTCAATCCCCAGTACTGCAAAAAAGAATAAACTTAACTGCTTTTAATGGATGCAACTGGAAATCATTATGTTAAGCTAAATAAACCAGATTCAGGAAGACAAATACTACATGTTTTCTCTTAAATGCAGAACCTGGATTTAAAATTAACATATGTGTGCATTTATATACATATGTTTGCAGATCATGAGACTAATAAGGGGATTGTGAGAGGGACGGAAGAGGTCTTAAAGGATGTGGGAAACAGAGTGGGTGGTGGAATGCATGTGACAGGAGAGCAGGAAGATGAACTAGGGAAGGGGAGCCAGATGGAGCATTGCTTTGTGTGCTAACCTAAAAAATTAGTTTAAATTTTAAAGTAAAAACTCAAAAATATAATTATGCATTTGGGCAATCTAAAGCTGACTTAGAGTGAACAGGAAGGGGTGGCCAGTTCCATGTAATACCACATCCTTTCACATAAAGGCTTTGAGCAGACATGCATTTGGCAACTGTAGAGGTCTGAGACATCAAAGCAGTTCTCGTGGGTACTAAGCAATGACTGCGCATATAGATGAATACACTGGCATTCTTAAGCCTAACCAGCTTTTTTAACATTAGTGAAATTCATATGGCCATCTATCAAACTACATTTTCTTAACAGAAGTAAAAAGACAGACAGTAGTGAGGCCCTGGGATCCTTCTGAAACTCCTCAGCCTTCAGGGTCTCCACAGGCTGTTCCAGCTATCCTGCTTAGTTGCCACTCCCTCCCCATCCTCAGCACCACCCTCCAGTGCACTTTGCTCCCTGGATCTGTGTCCTGCACTTGCTGTCCTCCCCACCTGGCACAGGCCTGGGCACAGACCATGGACAGAGGGTATTTGCCTAACAAAATCTGACTGAGCGCTCCTTCTTCATCTCCACTTCTGTTTCTCATACATCATCAGGGTCCAAGTTAGTCATTTAATTATATAACATTGAATTAAACCTCTTATAGGTGCCAGATGCTGAGAACTAACCACCAAATCATGGAACACAAGGTCTTCTTTTGCAGAGCTGGGACCCAACTCCTACTTCCTTACGAAATCTCCCTGTCAGAGGCCTCTCCCTTTTGAACACCCTCCCTCTGTTTTATTATTATTATTATTATTTATTATTATTATTATTTATTTTACCTATTGGTGTTAACTGCCTCTACAATAAATTAAAATCCAGCAAAGCCTTATTTCTTTAACTTCCCAGAATGCTTCACATCTATTAAGTCCTCAACAGATGTTTGTTAAATTAAAAAGCATTCATCATTGTCTAACATGGAAAGCTTATTAATTTGTCCTCATCTATAAGCTTTCAAGATAAATATTACTATTACAAAAATAACTCTCCATAGTTGAGGAAAACTAATTTGAGATTTAAGGCTTGATTTTGATACATAGTGTAGTAATACATTTTCATTGTTGCTAAAAGGGTTATTTCTCTGTAAAATGCATTTGCATTAAGGTTCTTTGTTCCAGTAAGTAGTTGAGAAGGGGTTGAAATATATTCTCTCTCATTGAACTACTTTTTAAGAATCTTTAATCTTGCAAGTTGAATGATAGAAAAGCAAGCCTAAATAGAATGAACCCCACCCCCCACCCAGGGTTTTTTATTTGGTTTGGTTTTGGTTTTAGTTTGGTTTTCTTGTTTTGGTGTTTTGGTTTTCTGGCCTGGATCTTACAGAGATCAGCCTGCCTCTGCGTCCTGAGTGTTGGCATTAAAGGTGTGTGCCACCATGCCCAACAGTGAATGTCTTCTTTTTGTCAGGTGTTCAGTTTAATAAGAATGCACCTATTCTTTATTTGTTCATTTACATGTACTCTTACCATGTGCAGGAGCATTTCCACCAGGAAATACAAGTAATGGCTTTCTACTATAAAGGGTGTGGTGATTCATTTAAGAACACATCAATTCACCACACCGTACAGCTGTTAAAGGCAGGGACTCTGTGACAGACTGGTTTGGGGCCAGGCTTTTTGCTCTCTCCTGGACCTGTTTACTCATCGCAAAGCAAGGACAATGAGAATATCACCTTTGAGAGTCATGAGACTCAAGGAGCTCATATTTGGAACAGGGTTTGTCCTGCAACTAAGCTTCCTCAGGCAGAACTTTAACCACTACCTTCCCAGACATCTCCTTTCACAGCCCACTTCCGTATAGCCCCACTCTTCGAGCAATGTCCTCCACAGCAGCCTCCTCACAGCGAAACAACAAATGATTCAGAGTAAATTCCACCAATGCTGGAGAACTTTGTTCTCTCGAACAAATCTAGCTTTTACTTCCTCTTCACAGGAACATAATTCACTAGTGGATAAGATACGCTGTGTCATGAGAACACTGATGGAAATCACTGTTTATACCTTAAGTTGTCTAAAGCCACCCAGATGCCTACATCACAGAACAACTCACAGATACTACCTGGAAAGGGCTTGAGTAGATTTTTAAGTAAGTCCGGGGCACTATCTCTAAAATGCCAGGAAGAGGTGACCCAACCATCTGCTTGGAATTTTTGCTATTCGTCAGGGTCTCCCTCAACTACAAGGACTGATTAGACAGTTCCTATGGTGACTATCTGTCTGAGAGACCAAGCCTACCTTTAGTGATAAAGATCAAAGGCTTTGGGCTCTTGTTGAGTTTTGAAAAGAAGACCTTGGTCACCTCACCTAACAGCAGGCAGTTTATCAGGGCCTCAACCTCAGGTGTAGAACTCTCTAGGAGAGGTGCCTTCACTGAATCCACCACAACCCAGAAGTTATACACAGCCCAACACATCCCCAAACTGTGCCCAAGATCACAATACAAAGGCAGTTAGTATTTACTGGAAACAGGCCACACAGTGCTGAGACTTTCATATGAATTATCTCACTGATTTCCCAGATGAACCCTATGAAGCAGATACCACATACATCTGAAAGATGAAAAAATCAAAAGGCCTTTGCCTTTTTGTTAAAGAAAAGACTTGGTTGAGGTCACACTGGCAGGCTCACTTCCACAA